AACATCCAATCAGACCTTGAGGGGACGGGATTTAAGGTAGTAATACGAGACAAGTTTCTACTGAATGAAAAACCACTACTGCCAACTGGACACTTCGGACTGACCCTTCGATTAAGATGAGAAAAAAAGAGTGCCGTGCGTTTTTTTTAAATAAAGATCACTGCGGTTTGCTGACATTAATACAAGTCATGGGCAGTGCTGGCAAACTAGTTAGAGGAAATTGCAGGCATTCCGTTAAAAAAACCGGCTCTGTGGTTGTTCCAGTTCTATTATTCAAAAAGTAGCGAAGAGACAAAAAGTACACTGCATCTCTTTCGGCGATGTCCAATATTACTACTGTAATAACAAGACAAATATTATAACCGTTAACACAGAAAGCACAGTTAAAAAAAAAAGCCTCGGCACCAATTGCTTCTCTATAAAAAGGCTGGGTCCACGAAAATAAATACTCCGATTCCATCTCAGAAGTCAAAGCTATGTGTTGATTTACTTTATAATCAGACGAATTCAAATCCGAACGTGTTTAAAAAAGAATAATTACCTTCTCCTTACTGTAAGCTGGTCACAGTCCTCGGAAGATTTAAGGTAGCTCAGGGCAGTTCTCCCTTTTCTACACGCCTGCAGCAGCAGGGGTAGGGGTGGGATCTTGACATCACTTCCTCAATGGTCCCTGCGTAAGGACTGGGTTGGTCGTCTCTTAAATTTAAGGGTTTATGCGAAGAGAGTTATGTTTCTTCTGTTGCTTTTTTACAAACATAAATAGAAAAGGCATTGTGCTTTTCTAACGTTTGTTATATCTCAATCAGTGTTGTTGACGTTCAAATCTAAAACAATCTGCACGGCGTATTCAATTCTTTTTCACAGCTCCTGAAATTCACTGCATTGATTTAAATTCTTTAAATGGCTCTTACCTATAAATACAACAGGACACTTCTATGCGCCTTCTTTAATATTTATATTTTTAAACTGCGCTGCCTGCCCTGTTAGGTGTAATTCGCCAGCAAAACTGCACTGTCGGCAGCTCCTATGAAAGCATCTTCACTATATTTTACTTTTTTATTTTGCGTGTTATTGAATGTTTTTCTGTTGTATTTCTTAGTTTTTACCTTTACCTTTACCGTCTGTATTCGATAAGCTGTGTTGTATTTTCAGCTTTATTTCACAAGAGTATTTGTTCCTCTGCCAGTTCCTTGGTTCAAGAAACAAATACAAATAGTGAATATTCAAAGTACATTACGTTGAAATAAGAGTTTATTAAATATAAGTTTCTGGTCTATGTAAGGCACCATTGCAAAGCTCATCAAAATTCAGACAAATCCAACATTTTTATCCACAACATTTCCTTTTCAGGTTATCGGATGTCTAAGAAAACCAAGCCAAGTTCTTGACTTTTTTAGAGTCAAATTTTGAATAAAACAACTTGGTTTTACAGTTGATTTCCCTGATTTTCAACAACATTCCTGTTACCACAAATTTTCCACTCAGGGGAATGAAATGTCCAACAAAAGCAATGGTACCTCAATCTCCCCCTTTACAAACGTGTATTTGCAGAGTTATGGTTAGTTGTGTTGGGTCAATGAGTTGCATGCATGTGTGAAATGCCTGCTTCCTCATCCATCCAAACAACTCGGAGATAAAGGCTGCACTTCATTCCGAATCCTTTGGACTCCGTTTTTTGTCCAAGTTATCATCTGTCATGCCTACAGTGTGTGTGTGAGACTTTCAGCTCTGCTGCTCACCAACATAAGTTTTGTGTGCAGAAGAGTTGGGCAGGGAGGATTATCCTTATGAGTTGGCTGAAGTGTGCCAAAAACATAACCAGGAAACTAGGAGTGGCAATCAGATCACTCCTTTGACTAAGCCTTTGCAATTAAAATGTGTGTTTTTTTTGTAAAGTTATGTAGTCTTTTGACCATGTAATGTTCTTTTGAACACAAAACAACTCATTTTAAAAATGAGCTGTTACAAATATCATTAGTACTAAAGAGAAATCAATGGTTATAAAAATGTCACATCTCATACTCTATTTTCCCTGAAGGACCAGTGTTGGCTTGATTTCGATTCGGTGCCAATACTTTGACACTTTTTTTTAACACATGATAATGTGTATTGTTGTACTTGCAAAACAAATGCAGCCGAAGACTCGATAATGGTGTGTTCAAAGATTGGAATTCTAAGTTAGTACAATTAGATCCCCTATTCCATTATTTGGCCACTTCAGAATGAATCTTAAATCAGTTTTATTGTGAAGAAAAAAAAGAAGACTCTATACATGTGCTGTCTGTATTTTTCAGATCAGATTTTGAAGTTTGTTTTCCTTCCTAAGGGGAAATCTTGCTCACAGGGAGGTGGGGAATGAGTTAACCTTTTATTTGTTGACAGGACATGCGTGTCTCAGGTTACAATGACCCTTGTGACTGACCGTCTGGGTTTCTTTTTTGCCATTTCAGATTGACCACCTCAGAGATTATTTCTTTGAGAAAACAACAATTTATGAGAAGTGGAATCTCATTACAGGGACAGGCAGAGTTCCTTTCTTGCTTCAAGCCTCTCTCTTTTTGCCCTGTTGTCACAGCGGCTTTGTATCTGTGTGTCTTGCAAGGTTGTGGTGTGGCCCACACAGCTGGGAAGGGTGAGGGGGAGATGGAGACAGGGGGAGAGGTAGGGGAGGATCAATAGGGAAGTCAGACAGATGAAAAGAGGTTTAGATGGAAGGGGATGGGTGCTAATATAAACACCTTTAAACTTGCATGTGAAAGCTGCTGTTCTGACACTTTAAACAACAAAGATTGTATCTGCATCCTCCCCTGACTGTACTGTTATTTGTTGTTTTGGATTTTAAGTATGAAGTAAAACATTTTAGCACCCCAAGACTTGTTTTATCTCAAACTCTACAGAGAGGCAAGCACTTTTTATTTTGTCTGACTGGAGATGAGCTTTGAGATCACAGCAGTCCTCATTTTATCTGAAAAAAAAAATCCAATAATAAGCAACTGGAGTCCCTGATTCTTCATCTGACATTCCTCTGTTACTTTGACAAATATTCTAAATGCCCAAAAGCTCTGACATAATTTTTAAGAAATGAAATTTATTAAATTCAACGCAAAATGAGACATCCTCAGCTGTTTGAACACAGGTTGGACATATCAACCAGTTTTGTAATGAATAATATAAAGTGCCCTCCATAGGTATTGAGACAAGGAAGTCACAATTGCTGTTTTTGCTGTATATTCTGATTCAGTTCTGAGGTGAAAAGATTAATATGATGCAAAAGTATTAATGTCACCTTTTATTTCTGGGAATTTCTGTGCTTATATGTCATATCATTTTAGAATAATAGCACCTTTTGTGTTCAATTTCCTAATTTCAGGTGTATTTGGACAATTAGCTGCCAGGTTTTGTGTACTGGTCAGGTTTTTCCTGTTTCAGTGATTGTGCTTACATAATAGCTGTGAATGTGTAGTGTTGGATTTAGCCTTTGCTCTTCCCTTTCATGTCTGCCCTTGGAGTCAGTAGGCCTAAACCAACAGGAAGATGGAGAACTGTGTACGAAAGAAAAACAAGCAGTTTGGCTGCTGAAAGAAAATAAGAATTCAATCAGAACCATTACACAGAAACTAGGCCTAGCAAAATCAACCATTTTGAATATCCTGTAAAGGAAAGAAGCCGCTGGTGTACTTAGCAATCAGCAAAGACCAGGTCAACCGAGAAAAACAAATGCAGTTGATGAAAGAAAACTGATCAGATCTGTGAAACAAAATCACTAAAACAACTGTCACTGAAATCACAAAACAACCTCCACAGTGCGGGGTTGAAGGTATCACAATCTACTGCTCACAGAGGACCCTGACAGCAAATTATAAAGGCTACACTGTGAAATACAAACCTCTCAACAGCACCAGTAAAAGAATGTCCAGATTACAATTTGCTAAAAAGTACAAAGATGAGCCAGTAGAGATCTGGAAAAATGTGTTATGGATAGATGAGACAATGATAAACCTCTACCAAAGTGATGGCAAGGATAGAGACTGGAGAAAGGAAGAAATTACAGATGTCATTCATGGTGGAGGTAGTGTCTTTGCTTGGCCACACATGACCACCTTTGGAACCAGCTTAGTCAGCTTTACTGATGATGTAACTAATGATTGTAGCTGCAAAATGACTTCCAAAGTGCACAGGATCATCTTGACTACCTATGCACACAAAATGTCTCCAGATTCACTGGCCAGTGCTTCATCATGTCAGGGAAGGAAGTAGAAAGTCTTAGACTGGCTAATTCAATCTCCTTATTTAAATCCAGTCGAGTGTCAATTTCACTTGCTGAAAAAGGAGACTGAAATCAGAAATTCCCCAAAACAAACAGCAACTAAAAATGGCTTCAACAAAGATTTAGCCTAGCATCTCAAAAGAACAAACCAAGTGTTTGGTGATGTCAATGGGTCACAGGTGTGAGGCAGTTATACTACTTTTATTCTAAGTTTAAACTTTAAGTAAGTATAAGCTTTATACGACTTTAATTTACTTTAAGTTAATTTGTCCCAAGATTTGTCCCACCTGAAAAGGGGGAATGGAACACAAAAATAGTGGTATTATTCTCAAGCTTAAATTCTGTGCATAAATACTCAGAAATAAAAGGTGATATTCTGTAATTATGACATGTTTGTCTTTTCATCTCAGATCCGATTTGCAATTTGGCAAATGTTGACTTTATTGTCCCAATACTTGTGGAGGGCACTGAACATATGAAAGATTAGTTGGCATGAATGTGTACTCAGAAAACACAAAGCTTAATATATTCTGACAGCCATTAGAGTCTTTCATGTGGTCTTGTTCACTTTGTTCAAGTAAGTGACCTTATCATCTTTCAGACATGATTGCCTTTGCTGTGGTTTTCACAAATCACAGGAGGTTAGCAATTGCCTTATGGAAACATCTCATTCCTCTACTTCTTAAACCGGTCAATATTTGCATGATATTTTACCCCTCCTCCCCATTGCTTTTTCTCCCACCCTGTTGTCTTTTTTTCCAAACTCAGTATGTAACTGACTTCATCTAATCAAGCCTTTAAAACAGAAAATTACAATTTTCTCTGGGCTGGATAATGATCTTTTTGTTTGGTTGTGATTGTGATATGAAGGAAACTATACAAACTCTTAATGATAATGATGAAGGTTGTAGAATAAATAGCAAAAGAAGAAAATAGTCCACACATGGTTACCATGAACACTGCTAATTGTATTATTCATTTTAGCAGTATGTAATGAGTACGTATTCTGGTGAAAAAGCCTTAGTATTGAAATGGAAATCATATTCAGTTGTGCTACAATGCAACTGTCTCTTGCTTCAGCTGAAAGTAATCACCAGAATTTTACAATTACAAAACATGGGCATTTGGTTGATTGAATTGGCAACTCCTGAAACCAGAACTTAACCTAACAAAGAGCAGACTGAATACATTTCCTCTGAGATCCCATTACACAGCTTCAAATTACATCTGTCTCTTAGAAAGAGAGAGTTGAGTGTTCTTTCAACTGGTATGAACCTTTTCTGTAGACAAGACACTGTAGACAAGATTAGAGAAGCACCCTACCAAAAGTCCTACAATTTTTTTTTAAATGCTTTTGAATTTTGGTAGGCCACAAGGCTTACATAAGCCCAAGTATGGCATTGTTTAAATATAAGATCCAGGATTTGGGAGTGGAAGAAAACCACTTTTCCATTTCAATTCACTTAAGTACTTTTCATCTCGCCACAATGAACCCATGACCCAGTTTCTTGACACAGAGAGTGACTCTGACAGTCACCTCCTTAATTACTTATATACTGTACACTGATAGAAAAACAAAGGACATTTTTGTGACGGAGACACATGCTGAAAAATAATCTGATGGACATTTTGGGCCAAAGCCATTCTTGAGTGGTGCAGAATGAGAAGTAAACCACAGTAACATTTTGTTTTAAAATCCCTGTTGTTGAAGCTATGATATACAGTACACATAATACAAGACACATGTTCCTTGGCATGTTTTCCACTGTTAAAGCTCAATAACTGTTACTAATACCACTGTGGATTCACAAGTACAAAGAAACTTTATTACACATAGTAGATGAAATAGTGCGACATTATGGATCAGTGCTTTAGTGTAACTTTAATGTTATGCAGATCTCCAAAGTAACTTTCTCAAAGGACCTCCAAAACCTCCGAGCTAATATGGCACTCAGACGCCAGGACACTGGTGAGTAAGTGTGTGTGTAACGTCAAGGCTTGCTTCATCACTGGCTTTTGTTATGGCTTCACAACAGGAACGTTAGCCAAGTTGTGAGTCTCGATTCGTCACCACAGGGTGAGCTCATTCAGGGTGATAAGGTCCAGACGGGACATTCAGCACAGTGCAGGACAAACATTGCAGGAGCAAGTCTAATTAACCATTACGCATACAGTGACCCACCCTGGGATTCTTTACGATTTTGTATTGAAAGAAAAAGCCTCATATGGGCTGTGCAGCAGTAACTATGATGTAAGTACATTTGTCTGTACAGTACATCTAATGTTGTTTGAGAAATGGCCGTGCTGTTCATGATTACATTTAATCTATAAAAACTGGAAATTACTTCATGCTGATTTTAATTAAAAACACAGAAATACCACAGGTAAGTGCTGTGAGGGAAATGGTAAAAGTAAACAAAATGCTAGAGTAAAAATAAATAACCTAAGCATTAATAGCTGTCACAACTTCAAGTGTTGGATTATTTCTCATTTGTCATAAGAAAGTATTAATTTTCTTCTATTAGGATTTTAAGTATTTCTAGGTATCTTGTAGTCCGTGGCTTAGTATAAGAGTAACACCATCTCTCTCCACAATTTGGTTTTACAGCTAAAACACTCATTGATTACACTGCCCCTAACTAGGCCTCTTTATCCTGAATGCTGTCTTTGTGGTGCCTGTTGCTATGACAGCAAGACAGTTGCACCCAAGGAGGCTAAATCTACACATGAAATCATTTACCCAGCACCACCCCCCTCACACACGTCCCCCTTCAACAGAACGGAATGCAGAAATCATTAAAAGTAACCTGTGGAAAAAAACATTTCTAGTCCTTTTTCTACAGTAGAACAGGAAGCAGACATTTAGAATGAAATACATGCTGGATATTTGCTCCTACAAAGTTGCAACAATAAAGTAAACATTTAATTTTGAAAAAAACAACTTAAAAACCGTAACGATTAATCATATAGAAGTCTCTAAAAATGGTCATAATGAAGCCAAAAGACTGAGATTGTTTAGAGACACCTTCAGCAGTTCTGTGAATTTCATTATTTTTATTTGCTTTGGCAACACTGATTGTACCCAACAGTCATGCTAATAAAGCACCTTGAATTGAAATTGAATTGAACTGAACTGAAGCACTCAGACAAACGCCTCAAAAGCAAAGAGAGAACACATATATTCTACAGAAAGCAGAACCCCAGGCTAGAACCCAGGACCCATGAAATGTGAGAGAGCAGTGCTGACCAGCACATCACCATAAGTTCTGTGTTTATCTTCTTACATATCAAGCACAAATGAGGAGGCTGAGAGTCACTTTATGCCATTTAGGAATAAATATACTGTATACTGAAAATAACTTTCACAAGCTAGTATATTTGACCCCAAAACATTGTCTGTGCTGCAGAATACTGGCCAGATATTTATTAAAGAGTTGTCCTCACACTTGGCCCGCCTCATAGTGACCTACAGGTCTGTGAATTAGGCTTTGCAGATTAGCTCATTTGTTGAACTAGAAATTGCAGAATTTACTTAGAAGTTTATGTGTGTTATTAATGCTTCACAACAGTAGGCCTATTAGTTCAGATTAAGCATTTTGACATGATTGCTTTCTGACAGAAAAGAGCTGGACTTGTTCTATCAGGACACTGTTACTCCTCAGCAAAACTGCTTATATCTGGTTGTATCTGACATCCCACAGGGCACTTCTCTTTGTCTCACCTGCACAGAACACAGACATTCCCACTGTATCAGGACTGAGAGAGTTCTGCAGTGGTATGGCAAACAGAACATCCCCTTTTTAAGTTTGTAATTTACATTAAGGTGGCAATCAAGCAAATTAATTATCATTCACCATTGAGAAAACAGCCATCCTGCTCTTGTTCTTGACTACTCAGCAATGAAGAACCATATAGTAAGCTGCAGGCTGGCTGACAGCAATAAAAGACACAATTTAAAATAAGCCTGTTTAGATTTCCATGCTGTGATCTAAACTAAACGTTATTTTATTCACACAACAGCTATTGCAAAACTTTTTTGCATGGAATGCCTTCTTTTTCTTGTCCTTGAAACAGTGGCCTTTTGCTTCAACTCTGCCTGTCTAGCTTCAGAGATAATATACCAGCTCATCACCTCACATTTGTGATGTTACAGCAAAGACATGATACCCACTCTAACACACACATCAGTTGGATATTATTAAGAGCTTTCACACCTTTGTGGAAATTTAAGAGGGAAGAGGCCATTCAGTTTGTTTGGTGGCCCAGTAGGTAGCTGATCCAAAGAGTCTAACCCTTTTATATTCAAACTGTAGTGTAAAGCAAACACTCATACATATGCAACTTTCAAAAACTGAACACTACCTTTCTTGTCTAGGGTTTCTGAAAGGAATGTACACTCCTTTAAATACATCTCACAATTTGGCATACTCAAATAATCTGAAAGAACAGTGTAATGCCTGTTAAGCTGTGAACAGGTTGTCTGTTACTGCTCCACAGTTAGTACTGCTGTCTCAGTACCCTTCACTATGGGACTGGAGTGGTTCCCAGTCACACTACAATTCCCAGTTTGTTTATTTTCTGTGTATTTGCTTGGGTTTTTCCTGGGAGCTCCAGTTTCCTTTTCCTTCCAATGTTAGTTGGTGTCTCTAAATTGTCCCTGTAACTGTGATCCATGCCAGATTCATGTGTATCAGGCATGTCTTTCTCACATCTTTCATCAGAAACATTAAAGGTACATTTGCTTCCCCATTAAATCAGACATAGGCTCTCAAAATCTGGGCTAAGGAAAAGTCACTCTAACAGTAATTTTAACATATAAATGAAAGAATTGAAAAGCTGTACTTTTAGTCCTCTGCACTGGATGCTTTCATGTTTTTTAGATCCTGCCACCTCCAAATGCTACAACTGAATATTTTAGTATGCCACACAGCTGTATTTTATATCTAACTCTAAATGAAAAAATAAACATGTTCTTTGATGATGTTTGATATTTTAAATTCATGTTTTGGTTATAGTAATTTGGAATATTGTTTTCTGCTAATGAACGTGTAATGAGCACTTCTTACTAAGCCTGATTTGAGATTTGAGCTTTGTCCAGCCTTGATGACAACACTCTCTCCCCCATGTGCACTGAGAAACACATACTGTAGCATCTCAAATGGCCTACCATCTTGAATACAAAAAGTAAAACCGTTCTGTAGGTTAGGAGGTGGAATGATATCTCAGAATTACTGTGGCACTCTTGTGGATCTTCAGATTGAACCCATTCCACTTAATCTTTTTCCAGCACTTGGAATTCCTGCTCCTGATCAACCTGGTGCCCTCCAGACTCTGAGACATAACTATCTGGGAGTAGCCTGTTGCTGCATGACCTTCTTGAGACCCACTTTGATATTTCAAATCTTAAAGGCATATTTCAGAAAATAATGTTTTGACATGATTCCAACACCAGACACACAATTTTTAAACATACTAATCACTGTAAGACAAAACGCACATGCAGACCACCAGTTTAAAACAGAATTATATAATTTATACAGATTTAAAAATCTCAAACTTCCGATTGCCAGGGCTGAAAAAATGTTTTCTATTCTTGTTAAGAGACATGTAAACAAAGAAACATAAAAAAAAGTTCCTGTCTTATAAGCAAGCCTCCAAATATAACCATTTTTTAAAAAACTGGGGGATTTCTCCCATTTCTAAGCTATGAGGATCCATGAAAAAGCCAGCACACTTCAACATCCTGAAAAATGTTCATTCTTCTCCAGTCCTAATAGTATTGAATCTTAATTCGCGTTTCGTTTAAAAACAAATAAAAAAGTCCATTAAGGAATTTCAATGTAGAGGACAGCCTCATTCTAAACATGTGCACTTTATTTAGACACAAAATTCTATTTTTTCTTCGATGTGGAGGCATGTCCAGCAGTCCCAACATGCCAGAAGCAAGCTCCCCCTCATACTTCACTTCTTTAACGTTTATTAAATTGTGAGCTGATGCCTGCGACTTCTGAGTTTTTAGATACTTTTAAAAGCATTCACTGACCCCAACCTCTCCATCACTCTGTACATAATACAGTCTTCCACGCTTTTGAAAAGCTTGGTACTCAGTCGCTGCCGCTATCGCTGTCGTCCTCCTCTTCCTCCTCCTCCTTCGGCGCCGACTCCTCCATCAGCCCCGAGAAGAAGTCATCCCCCGCCCCGAAGGCCTTCTTGCTCAAAGACTTGAGGTGGCCCCCCTTCTTCTTCCTCTTGCGGTAGTCACTGACAACCATGTCCCCCAGGGAGGAAATGTCCCAGAATTTCACCTTCTGGTCGTGGGCGCAGCTGGCGAGGAAGCGCCTGTCGTGCGACTTGGCGATCTGCTCGATGGGCTCCCCCACGTGCTGGCCCACACTGCCGATGACCCGGTTCGGGAGCAGGTTGATAGCCCTCCAGACGGAAAAAAAAAAAGAAAGAACGGATTTATTTTTCCTAATTCTAAACAATGAAAAAATGTAGTTACACCATATCTATCAAGCGAACATTAGCTATTATCAAGTATGATGTGTGGTTAATGCAGAATAAAAAAAATGGGAATGGCAAGGTATGATTACGACCTAATCCTTTTCTTTCAGTATTTACTCTGTTAGGAGGTGATCTATTTTGTACACACAAATATTCTTAATTAAAAACCATTAAAAAAAAACACTCCCTCTGCTGGTCAGACAAGGTATTCTGACTAGGTCTTGTGTTTCCTCCAGTCTTCAAGGTTGTTGGAAAAAAAAAGCACGGTTATTTCTGCATTGGAAAGGTTCCATTGGATTTGCCATTGTTTTTGTTAAACCTGTTAAAAATACAGCTGTCATTTAGGAATACACAAGTTTAATTGAAACACACACTGCAGTGTTTTGTAACTACATTCGAATATTGCTATATATATTTAAAATACGATGACGGGACTTAGAAGCTTAGAAGCCTGCACACTATTTGTGCTTCATGGGCTAATAAGTAGAAATATTAACTGGTTCTGCAGGAACAAATTATTTTCTACTGGAGGTAACTGCTGATGAGTGGGTAACTTGCAAAATGTCAAGCAAGCATGGACAGGTTTAGCTCAGAATCTGAGCAACAACTGATTTGTAAACGTTATGTATTGGTAGTTTTACACTCTTCTCACCTTATAACTCCATCCATTGAAGCAGCACAAAGTATGCTGTCAGTAATGGCAACAATGCTGTCGACAGACTCGGCCTGTACTGCAAATCTGTCACTGGTGGCTCCGAACCCATTCCAGTTGAACAGATAGATCGTCCCCTCGCTGGAACCACACGCCACTTTCTTTCCTCTCTGTTGGGACATGGTCAGTATCGAAATGCTGATAAAAACTGTGAGACCAAACATAAACCCTTAACCTGAAGCTTCAACAGCAGATACTACAAGTAAACCTCTAATGTACAAAATCAGCATCAATAAAGTGCAAAGAAAACAAAGCCACTTTAAACACGACTCCAGTTCAACAGAGATGGGAATCTTAAAATGCTCTCAAATGTTTCTAAAATATAAAGCACATTTCCTTGTGTTAAAAAAGACAAATGTGTAAAATGTCAGGACATCTGTTGTTATTCGATAGGGCCGTGAATATCAACACCATTTTCCATTGTACACAATACTGAACAACATTCATAGATGCGCCAGTTGATTGAGGAAAATTAGCATCAATAACTCGTCTGCAACACTCCTGTATGTCCTCTCACTCCAGTCCGGCTCGTGAAGCCCTGCCTGAAAATGTATGCCTTTCCTTCAGTCACCTACCTTCATGATGGCAACAGAGGTCAAGTCCCCACTCTGGAACTCCGACAAGAGATCGAAGCGCCTCCTTTTAATATTAAACACCCCCATTGTGCCATCTCCACTGCGTAAAAGAGAGAATACAATAAGAAACAAATCTATCAGCGGCACAAAAATAGTTCTGATTTTTTTTGTCAGCTTCATGTGTGTTCTTTTAAAAAAAAAAAACATTTGTTCCAGACTTACTAGATGGTAATGCTGGCTCCACACGGTCCCAATTTGTTTTTGTAACATTTTGTAATTTTCTCATGTTTGCCAACTTCTACATATGCACCCATGTGCCAAAAACAGTGAACCTGCCACACAACTTGAACTCATTTAATTGGACACAACCTTATTCTAACAAGGTTATGAGACATGTAAACAGAAACATGAGAGGTAAAACGCGAACGGATATTTAAAATGACCTAGCTGAACATACTTTCTAAAGGCAATAGAAAGTAAGTGGAAAGTAAGACGTGTGGTCTCTAGAAAAGCTCCAGTTCCACAAATTCCCACGTGATCCCCAGAGGGAAATGTATTCTGGCTGTTTATAAAGGTGTCACCTTGTCGTAAGCAGGATTTTCTTGCTCTCATCAATGGTGATGTCGCTAATGTACTCCTCATGCTGTTTCATCTCCATGAAAGCCGTTCCTTTCCTCAAGTCCCACACTTTCAGAATGCCGTTGTCATCTCCTGTCGCCAGCAGGTTCTCGTCGATCACCAGCATGCTATTTAAAGGGTAACTGGAGAGACACAAACACAAAATCTACAATGAATGGGGGCATTTGCCTAAGCGGAACAAACAGTTATCAGTCCATGATTTGCATATTCATTTTTAGCCATGCCTAAGAGTTTATATGGATTAAGAAGCAAACTATTGCCCTCAAAACATTATGTCCTGTCATTCACTTCAAGATTTGAAAATGACATTTCTAAACAAAAATAAAACTTAACATTTTTAAATATTCAGATTTCTAGAAGTAAATATCACTGTAAAAAAGTGAGTGAAGCACACAACATTTTGGGTTATCTAACCAGGCTGAAGGATAGGGCCAACAGCCATATCACCCTGCAACTCACCACTGGCAGCCCACTGAAGCTCAGCAGGTGTGAGCCTGGTCAATATCTGGATGGGAGACCTCCTGGGAAAAACTACGCTCGCTGCTGGAAGAGGTGTTAGATGGGCCAGTAGGGGACACTCACCCTGTGGTCTGTGTAAGCCCTAACACCCCAGTATAGTGATGGGGACACTGTACTTTGCATAAGACATAAAACCGAGGTTCTGACTCTCTGTGGTCACTATAAATTCCCTGGGTGCTTTTTGAAAAGAGTAGGGGTGTAACCCTGGCGATCTGGCCAAATATCCCCTGGCGTTTACCAATCATGGCCTCCTTATAATCCCCATCTATGAACTGGCTTCATCACTCTGTTCTCCTCGCTACTGAGAGCTGATGTGTGTGGTAAGAGTACTGGTGCACTATGGCTGCTGTCGCATCATCTAGGTGGTGGCAGAGGGGAGTCCCCATTACCTGTAAAGCACTTTAAGTAGTGTGTCCAAAAAAGCAAAAATGTAAGTGTAAGGAATTAATAATAATAATAATAATAATAATAATAATATTCATACAAAGGGTAGCAAGACACTTTGCAATTAAATAAGCAACTCATCAGCAACAGATCTTCACAGATTACTACCTGTGGGCTTTTGATATTCGTGAGAGAAGTTTGCCTTCCTCCACATCCATGATATGGACAGCTTTGTCCTTGGATATGCTGAATAGCTCTGCAGAGATACAAGCAGGCACCAAAGAAGAGATTGTGAATACCTGGCATGTCAATAGCAGTTACTTCAACATTTTGAATGGATACAATTACCAGACAATCAAAAGACACGATATCTTCTGTTGAATCCAACTAGAAAGTCTCCAGTACTTTACCACTAATCCAAAGAACTGTCTAGTTAAGATCACGCATTTTATTAACATCCTTTTCTGTTCCTCACTTTGTCACAAGCTATAATATTTCGCCTTTAAAGCATTACAGTGTATGTATACAGTATAAACTGATACTTAATATGTTAGATAACACACAGTGGTTGTGAACACAAGAGAAAGCAAAGTACTTCTGAACTTACTTTGGCCATCGTATGAGAAAGCCACTTCCCTGCATGATTTGAGGTGATGCCCAGAGGACCACAGTTCTTTGTTATCCCCTTCTGTACAAGAGTACGAGTAACTGAGAACACAAATGTGATTTTTAGTGGGTGCCAACAGATGAAATCCCCCAAAACACAAGGATTCAAAAGTGGGATTAGAACAAACAGAGAGATAAAGACAGATTTTCAGTATTCAACTAAGCAAAAGACTAATCTTGGATTCAATGTAAAAGGACTTTTGACAGGTATTGTATCTGTATGTTACTCCGAAAAGATTTCTTATTTCCGAATGAACAAATGCAAGATGAGTGAATGATCGTTTCCTATGTCTGTAGACGCCAATATGAAAAGCATACACATAAATATCCCCATCCAAGTCCCCTGCTGCCACGACGTCTCGGCTGGGATGGAATGCAACTGTGTTTACAGCAGCTTCAAACAGTATGTCTTCTGGGGTCTCTCTGATCTTGGGTTCCGCTGGATGGTCTTCCTGCAATATGGGGAAAAGACGTCTTAAGTTTACCATTTGTGCGTCATTAGAACACAAATACTTTTAAGTAGTAGCTTTACCAGTTTGGTTAACATTTCATGATTTCAGATAGTTACATCAGAGGTATAGTGGGGTCTGCCTTTATACACTTCTGAACGACTTATTTAAAAATGTTTATTACTTGTTCGCTTTCGTCGTTTTCTTCAGCTTCAGAGTTGTTATCCACAAACACCGCCGTCGTCTCCGCGTCTTGCTGTAACAACAGTAAAAGTTATTCGATAAAAGTTGTTATGGGACAGAAATGGTCCTTCTGTTTTAGCAGTGATCGCGCGGCAGGAACGACTTGATTTATAAAACCATTTTAAGCATCAGAAGGACAGTTTGTTTTTTAAATTGTGAATATTCTAAAAAAAGAGGTTGCAAGCTTCATAAATGAAAATCCGCATTCATGAGGGAAACACTGTAACAAACATTACATTTCAATTTCAAATATCAATATGTAAAACTAAAATAATATTTAGAAACTCATGTGTTCTTACCATGGACGCGGCCATCTTTAAAAACTTTACGTCACGTCAGGTCTCGATCAGTAACCTTAACAAATACGGGCACTATTTCTGTAATGTGAGGAAAATATTAGTAGACATATGTATACATATATTTAAATGAATTAAATAATATGAATACGGAAATTTGATGTCAATAATTTAAGCCTTTGGAAACTAAAATTTATTTCCAGCTTCCAGGACCTAATATATTAATAATCGTATCAAAGCACAGAGAAAACAGTGCTCGTTTGTCATTATACGACCGAAGTTTCAGCTCCTAGGGAAAAAAAACTCGCAAAACTTAAATCATTTACCATTAAAATACACGTAAAAGTCTCCGATTCGTTCCAAGTGCTCGGACATAAACCAGTTAAATGCTGGTACTTTTCGGATGAATTTCAATAGTTTGACACCATAAATTGCAAAGTATGTGGTACAAGTCCAATTTACTAACACTTCTATTTTATACAAGCCGTTATGTTTGAATGTATTATGAAGCAGTAAACATGCTCTCTATTGTAAACATGACACGAACCAATAAGAATTGATTCCAGAACAACAACAACAACAACAACAACAAAACAATGTCTGTTATGATATTTAATAAATCCTGTGCGGTCAAAGACCCCTCGCTGCAAACTCGAATCAAGCCGTGTGGCGGCATCGATGCAACAGCAGAGAGAAGCGAAAAATTAAAATAGGAAAACGAGCTACACGCATGGAGCTTGTTTTAGCGGGAGATGTTAACTCGTTTGACAAAAATAGTATTTATGGTAAAAATGTAAATCTCCTTTTAGCGTATACTCGCGAGTAAAGTGCTTGTTTAACAAGGGATGGGTGTATTTTACTGATAAAAGACAACTGTGAGGAGAAATCCTTGTAATCAAACATTCAAAGAATGCTTTAAACCAAGAACGCACAGTAAACTACATCAGAAGACAAATTTATTGACACGGGTGTTCTTATATCCCCCGGCAGTATTCTCTTACGTGCTTTAGTTATAAGTAGCTATAATTGAATTATTTTTTTTCTTTCAGAATCTTAGTGTTAAAAATTGTGCCCCGTGTGAGGATCGAACTCACGACCTTCAGATTATGAGACTGACGCGCTACCTACTGCGCTAACGAGGCATCTGTCCCACATGACCTCTTATATTGGTCTTTCTGCCTCTCCAGCAGCAATTACAATGGATTTGGGTAAATATTTCAATATTGTGATCAAGGTGAACTATACTGAATCCTATGCGATGCGATATCTTGCTATATGGTACGCATGGAAAATCAATCGGGATTGCTTGTTGCCATCATCACGTTTTATATATATATTATCAGTCGCTTAAAAAAAAGTTCACAACCATAACCAGGTTTCTGTTTATTGTAGAACTAGGCACAGGACCTGGAACTATTTTGTCTTTAAACTTGACCGTCGTCAGAAGACACACAGTGGTGTCAATGTGCATATGGTAATTTGGTAAATGGCCAATAGTCAATAATCATACCCTTTACAGACTTCAGGTGTGCAGAAGGCAAGGGAAATATTCAATTCAATATTCAATTCAAGCTTTATTGTCTCCTGGGGGGAATTTGTTTTACTGCAGTCAAACAACACAATGACAAATAAACATCATCAAAAGGGAAGAGAATACAGTAGTGTTACAGAAAATAAAAAAAACAGTGTAATTGCAGTGAGGATGAAAGATTTCCTGAGTCTGTTGGTCTTACACCTGGTGGCGCAGAGGCATCTCCTAGATGGGAGAAGTGTGAATTTGCAATGGAGGGGGTGAGACACACACTCCATGATGCTTTTGGCTCTCTTAGTCACCCTCTGTTTGTAAATGATACTTAGATGTTAAAGCATAAAAATTAAAATTAGAAAGCCACAGAATAATTTTCAGTTTATAGTACTTCAGGTGTGAATCAAAAATATAATCTCAGAGTTGAGGTCGATTTAGCACATATTTAATGCTACCCTTGTCTTCACAACATCATTTGTCCTTTACTGCCCAGTACATAGTGTCAGTACATTAGTCTGTGTACTTTGGAAGCAGACTGAGAATAAGAAATTTGACATGACCCTTCAGAGTACAGATAATGGGTTAATGCTCAAACTGGAGGATTATAATCAGTGGAGTACCACTAGGTTCACTAGGTCCTTATTTTTATCAATTATCTCTAATCCTGCAGTAAACACTAAATGCGGAGGATCAACACTCCAGAAGCATTAAATGAAACTTCACATTACTTAGGTCAAATTCAAGACTGGGCAAACACTTGGTAAATCAGGTTTAATGTAAACAGTGCACAGAAAGTGGAGGTAACAAAACCAAACTATACATAAAAAATAAGAATGAGAAAGTAGAGGCATCTTATGAAAAATACTTAAGTGGTATTGGTAAAAGTATAAATCTAAATAAGGGATTTGTTAAAATTATATGATACAGTAGTAAAGCATCTTTTAAAGTAGTGTGAAGACATTGTTGCGATAGAATCGGTCTAGAGAACAGCAACAAGATACATTTTGGGGCTTAAGCGTATGTCCTCAACTGACATGCTGTAGGAACTGAACCTTTAGTCTTGAACAGAGAAGATTAAGAGGGGACCCGATACAAGTATTGAAAATCCTCAAAAGCATTCATCTATTTACTCGTAACTACTCACAAACTTCAAACAACATGGTACTCTATATGTGAAAAAAAAATCAATTTTTTTATGAAAAATACAGACGAATCAATAAAATGCATGTTTATTCAGAGCAACACTTTATTTTGGGGTTGCACTTCAGGATATGCTAAGGAGTTTTAGAAGACCTTTAACTTTAATGTACAGAACATCAACCCTTTGAAGTTGTTGCAATACAGAAGCCTATTTCCTTGAAGGATTAAAAAGGAAAAAAAAAGCTGATACATTTTTAAATACACAAATCAATCCTAGCATACTATATACTGCAATTCAAATTACTCATTAAAGAAATAGCACAAACATAGACCAGTAATAGAATAAAATGGTAACTAAAAATGGAAAGTCTTCAGTATTTTGGCCTCTTCACTTCCACCCTGAAATGAAAAAAAAATTTTTTAGAGTGGTGGACCAGACTCCATGGTAAAATAACAGTTCTTCTATCATTAATCTCTTGAATTTTTTGTATTCCAGAACTGTCCGATTTTATAGATTTTAATTAAACTCAGCTCAATCATGCAAACTGCAGGTAAGCCAAAGTCATCGGGGATCAGCATTAGCAATGCCCCCTCCCCCACCAAGACTCTTTAATACTTGACAAAGTCCTAAAGTGTAAGATTCCAACTAAGACAGCACAGCGGAGGAAAATAAAAAAGAAACCAAGCCTGATTTTACTGATCCCAGTCTTTAGGAAGGCCAATATCGGCAACCAATGGGCATGGATTTTTTTCAGGGACTTCTGCACTTCTAAAGTTTCCCGCAAGTTATTTCCCATGTCCTATGTTTGCAGTCAAGTTGCGAATGAAGAAGGAAATGTACACACCCGTCTGCTTCCATTTTCTTCCTCTTTTCAATAATCTGGAAAATAAATACAAAAATACAGATCAGTTAAAACCAGGTAAACGTTTTAAAAAAATGTTTAAACCTTGTTTATGACGGTGGGGTGCAAGATGAAAATATACCTCTCCCACTAGATTATACAGGCACTTCTCTGCGATGTATAGAATTGAAAAAGCCCACGTATAGCCATGGATCTTTCTCATCAACACTTACAGCACTGATCTTCTTCCACTGCCGGTCAAGCTCTGCCTTCTCATTGGTCTCCTTGAAGCGGCGAGTTTTCCGACCCTCTGACATCTTAATTCCATACTGGAAGGCAGCCCTAAATTATTGTGCAAAACCAGAAGAAAATGTCAGATATTTGGTCACATTTAATCAACGCGTAAAACCTGTGGGCGGCACGGCCCTGCAGTGCCGGGGTCCTGGGTTCAACTCCAAACCTGGAGTTTGTGCGTTCTCCACGTGTTTGCGTAGGTTTCCTCCCACAGACCAAAGACAGACTACTGGTCGGTTAATTCTAGAAGAATTGGCTCTGGTGTGAATGTGTTTGTCTAAGACTCTGCCCTGTGATGGACTGGTGTCCTGTTTAGAGTGTACCCTGCCATTTGCGTGTTGCTTGCTGGGATAGGTTCGAGTATCCCCGAGACCCAGAATTGTCTGAATGGATAAAAGCAGGGTAAAATTCAAGTCATGCATAAAACTATTTCAGACAGGACACCTTACAACATATAAATATATATTCCTTACTTAGGGAGGGCTTCCTTGTTATTCATATACTCGCTGTACTCTTCCTGAGTGTCAAAGTCCCAGCGTCCCAATGGTCCTTTCTTATTGCCCTGTAAGGAAGGAAACGTATCTATGAAAAAGCAAGTAGCATCAATTACTAAATGTCACTTTATTGACAGTTAGGAAAAGGAACTGCCTACTTTCTAACAGCTTCTTTTAAACTCAAATTAATATGTTAGGAATAAATGTTTGAAAAATTAAAAGACCAAATTGGTAAGTTTAGAACTAAGAATTTAAAAGAAATCTGAAGGCAAAAGGAATACATAAAAGTAGATGATGTAAGTAATTTAAATATATGACCTGATCCATTTTACTGTAGTCCACTTCTTCATCGCTGTCCACTGCTAGATCATCCATTCTGAGAAATATAAAATGACAATTGAATTAGATTGCCATTAGAAGTGTAAGGATTAAGGCACTGTAACTCTTAAAGTGATAATGAATAGTGACTATAGTGATAATGATAGTGATAAAGGTTTTGCTCGAATCTTCATAAAGAGACTTAACAAAATGTAGAATGCAGTAAAAAATCAATCATGTTACATATATCTTTAAGAAGTTTTTATACATATTTTTTTTATTTTAAATCAAACACCTACACTGCAGAAATTCTCTCTCTAAAAACAAAATATAAATATGCACAATATCCCTTGTCCGGAAACTGCAGCATAAACAAAATCCATGTTCAACACTCCTCCTTGTGATTGTGTCAGACACCAACTGTTGATAAACCTGTGAAGTCCTTACTTAAAAGCACAAGAGTACATGCAAGAGGTTGAACAACTTACATTTTTGTGAATACATTACAGAATAAAAAAAAAAATCTGTCACTTACGTAGCAGGATAGCACTCAGCGTAGCTGTTAGACATCCCAAAAAAGTCCCCAACATGTTTCTTCTCTTCCCTTCTACTGCCAGCAGTATTCCAGGTTAAGGGAAGAACAATATGAGTAGTAACATTTAAAACCACTGCAAGCGGTCCATAAAGATCAAACTTGCAATCTGAAAATGTAATAACCCAGACTTAAAAGTCAAAGCGGCAAAGGTGGACAGAATTACTTTCAATTTTTTTCTGCTCCATTCCAAAGCTTACAAAAACTTTTGCACATCCAGCTAGTGTTTCAAAATACATTTAAGCCTCACTGAAATAAATAGGAAATTCAACTTTACTCTAAAAGGCTTTAAGAATCTGTTATTTAACCAAGTAGAAAATTGCTATGTTTTCTTGCAAGGAAATGTGGCAAATAAGACTAAGTAGTTTATACTTAAAAAGTATATACAGTATCACAAAGAGATAATTCAATGTAAACTGTATGCATCTTAAAAGAGAGGATACTTTCTCATATTATAACAATCTCTCAGTATACGTTTTGCCACAAATCAATCACGTGATACAGAAATAGTGGAAGTAGACAAAGAGCAAAGAAAGGATATGTCTCTTGGCCTTGCCACTGTGCACTTCCAGCAAACTTCTCGTTGATCAATTTAATTTGATCCTTCACAGACGCAGGACCTAATAAAAAATATAATCACATTTGTCAGTCTCAAGGCAATATTCTTGAATCCTTGGACATTCCAGTGCTGTCAGTTTCAGTGCCTTTGTAAGCTGCAACATAAAGAAAAGATAAGAACCCCAGAAATTCACTGAAGCTCCTAAATGTCATTGTACATCTTTTTAAACCTCATACATTGGTTTCAACTTTAAACTTAAAATTTTGATTAAAATGATAAACATTAATTGTTCCAGTAAATTTAATAATCATATATCTACTTCACATTTACATGCGCCAGTTTTAAGTAGATGAAAATTCTGGTTATTTAAAGAAATTAAATTTGACCACTGACAAATATTTACCACAATGCAATATATTTAAACCGTAGTATATAATTAAAAATAAGTTCTTACCCTTTTCCATCTCCACAACCTGTCAAAAAAAGGAAAATGTATTTTTTAACAAAATACAATGAATTTGTCTCTTTCTACCATTAGTTTCACCATTGCACAGCAATGTAGGTTGTGTTTAGAAAGTACTACTAAAAGTTTAAAAATGTGCTTCTTGCAACTAACTTTTCTTGGGAACAAAAATTGAAAGCCAATTTTACCGAAAAATGCAGTACTGTAAACCAAATGACACTCGGAAGATGAATCTCAGTAACTTACACTGCTGAAGAAATCTAGCACGCCCCTTTCCTTCAAAACCCAGTTGAACTACATAGCAACTAGTTTGCACAAAAGCCTACCACACCCCATGTTCTGTTTTGGTAAGCATAAGGAAGATTTTTTTATTCTCTGAAAAGTATTTTAGAGTCATGCATGTTAAAGCAACGTTTGTGCGCTACATTGTTCTGGTGAAGAATGATCTTTTATGCCATTTCTCTATTATTGAATACTAGATAAGATGTTTACTGCGGATGCTAGCCAACAGCTCATCTCACCTCATCATCAACCCTTGGTTTCTCAAAGTAGCTGTGTCTCCTTTTCTCTTCTTCTCTGTCTCTCTCCCTCTCTCGTTCTCTTTCCCGGTCTCTCTCGCGCTCCCTCTCCCGCTCCCTCTCGCGGTGGCGCTCCTTCTCCTTCTCCTTCTCCTTCTCGCGCATGGCCTTGGAGGAGGAGGGGGTGTAGTCCCCAATGTCATCGAAAATACTACAAATCGGAGAAGCAGTAAGAGACAGGCCTTTACATCTACACAAGTCAATTGTGCTGCAGGCGGCGACAGGAGGAAAGTGCACATGGCATTTTGGAGAATGATTTTTTTCTTCAGTAGACGTGGCTAAACAGAAAAACAAAATGTATCGACTTGTAAAAGGAGAGGACACTGGTGATATTTTTTTTTTTACTTACTTCAAATCTGCCTCTGGGGGTTTCTTTTCATCAAGTTTTCCTGAAAACAGACAAAATCACAATCTCTCATATTCCACGCTTGAGGTGATTCCCTAGTTCAGAATGTATGTTTGGGACACGGAAATACTTTAATTCCAACAACAATTCTCGGTTTACACCTGCTAGCAAAATAAACAGTATTATGCCAAACTGATCTGAATGGGAAACAAGTTAATAAGTCGTGCGATGTAAATATGGAATATCTGCCGTACCTTTCTCTTTCTTCTTCATCTTCTTGTTGCGGGTGCCTTGCCGAAGGTAGGACAGGATCTGAGTCAGCTTGCTTATTACAATGTCATTTGTTGTCAGGGTGGTTTGAGCCTGAGGAAAAAGAAAAAAGAAAAATCAGAAAAGTGCAGATAACTTCAGAAAAGGATTAGGTGGGGATCCCTGTTTTTAGGAAACGGAAAAGAAATGTACATGATCGGATGTTTCAAGCTGCAAAAATGCACTTTTGCAATCAGTGTAAATCTTGTTTTCACACGAACAATAAATGCAGCATTATCATTTGGGCTGTTTTCAGATATCAAAACTTTAGCACAAATGAAGAAATGGTTCAAATAATAACTATTTACATGTCAACTGACACTTTACACACTGTATATTAATGTACATGAAGGTGTCAGGTCGTAAGAACTAGATAAAAAATAGAAAAGCAACCTTACAGCTCTGTGACTCAATTACAATGGTAGAAACTCAATAATCACCAGACTGCATTATTTTTTAAATGAATTAGCTCTGCTCAAATGAGAAATGCTATTTTGCAGAAAATATCTTCTGGGCAATGTCTTATGTAAATCCTATGTAAATAAACACATTAAGTATCACTAATAGACTAAAAAGAAGATCTTACTCCAACTTTAACTGTGTTTGCTTAATTCGAATACAGGCCCTTAAAACTAAACAGGAAGTATCAGCTTTACTTAAGAATGCATTCCAACCGATGAGGATGAAATCAACTACAGTTTTCTTGCCTCCATTGTGGGACAGTCAGCTTTGCTCCTGATCAGCGTTGTGGGAATATCAGTATCGGCATACTCATCCTCCAGATCCACTACATAGGCCATCCTGCCAGGCAGAAAAAGCTCGTTTCTCTCCAGTGCACGATTCTTGAATAAGATGCGGTAAATATTCCTCCCTTCAAAAGATACACTGTCATTAAAAAAACTGCCACAATCGTTCATCTGTCAGCTCAATCCATCAATGAAATCACTGATTGCTCGTTAATCATTTGAAAATATCCCAACGATAAGATCAATATTCTTACCGAGACGGGTCTTGAATTCAATTTTCTGTTCTGGATCTTCATCTTTCCTAAAAAAAACAACAAAGATGTAACTGGTTGTAGAAAGAAATATTTTAAAATGAAATAGAACAGTACGTGTTGCTTACCCTTGAAACTTCTATTCCTTATAAAGGATGGGTGTTTTACCTTAAGGAAATTCATTTTACATTCAATTGTCAACT